AAAGATTTATCAAATATAATCAAGAGAAACAAAATGGATCTCTAATTTAAAAGTGTACTAATATTATTTTTATGACTTATAATATTATATATATATATATTTTTTTTTTAACATTTTTGGCAACCTTGCTGATATCCTTTATTAAAATTATATTATATATTATTACAAACAAAGATTAGCTTAATATTGCAGGTTCAACACCTCTTAGCTGCCTCATGGGTGCCCAAGAGTAGTTTGCCACACTAACTGTATAGAAATTTTTCTAAGTTAGAGGCTGTTTCAAATTAACCATTAGGGATTTATCCTGTAAATCATTGATCTTTTTACTTTTCTTTGTTTATTTTTTGTAGCAATGCAATAACTAAAACTATTACTTGAAACTAAGACAAACCCTTAAACCTCTATACTCTTACTAAGTATGCTACTCAATAAACTTTCTATTCTATTTACTTTACTACTATCTAATATTACTCTAATACTTATCACCTTTTTAAACTTTTTAATTCTCTTTTTTCTTTTGAGTAGAACTTTTATTATTCACTTGCTTCTATTTTTTTGCTTATTCTTCATTTGAAAAAATTTTGGAATTCAACTTGTAATCTTTAATATATTCTTCTTTTTTTTCCTTGTTTTCTTTTCTTTCTCTCTCTGGCTTCATCTTCTGTTTTTATTTGTCTTGTTCTTTCATTACTTTTCTTTTTTTGAATCGCTGTTTTCTTCCTTTTATACTTCTTTTCTGCATTTTTTTTTTTTCTTTTTTGGTGAATCACTATATCTGATTTTTTTTTTGTATCTTGAAGTTCTTCTTTCTTTATTCTCTGAGTGTCTTTTTTATCTTTTCTTTTCTTTCTCTTTTGTTTTTTCTTTTGTTTAACTAGTATTTTCTTTTCTTTATGCTTTTCTTCTTTGCAATTTCTTCTAGTTTTTTCTTTTTTTTTTTCCTCCAAAATTCAATAAACTGTTTTCTTCATATTTCTTGGCTCTGAATTTTGTGTTTCTTTTTTTCTTTTTTCTAATTGTTAAAGCTTTCTAATTCTTTATCTACTTTTCTACTAATTAATATAGAATCCTAGCTTCTCATTTTACTTTGCTTTATCTGTTTAATACTTTTTTGTTCTTTTAGACCTTTGTACCATCTTACCTCTATTTGCTGCTTAAGTCATATTTGTATTTTATCTGTATTTTTCTTCAAGTTAGTTTAAACTTTGATTTTTTTTTTTTTGTAATCTTCTAGATTTTTTATCTCTTCTTGCTATTTATATTGTTTTTGTACTTTATCTATATGAGTTTCTATATATTGTAGAAGCTTCTTAATTATCAACTGTTCTTTCTTCTTTATGGCCTCTTCTTTGATTATTTTCACATATTTTTTTATATTTTCTTCTTTAAGGTTTTTTTCTACTCTAACTAGTTCTGCTAATTTAAATGTTTCTTGTTGTAAAGCTTTTCTTTCTGGATTTCTTCTTAATTCTTTAGCTTTTTCTAAAGGATCTTGTTTTTTAATTAATGCATATTTTGAACTTAAATGTATTAATTGTTTTATTGTTGTTTGTATCATTTTAACTTTTCTAAAACTTTCTATAATAAACTATCTGCTTTATACACATGACTATTTGTTTTGCTATATATATTTATTTTTGTCACATGTTTAGATTATTTTGTTTATTTGTTGTTATTGTATTCTGTATTATGTAAACAGATTTGCATTATAGGATCAAATAGATATTCTAAAAAATAAGCACCAAAAGTTAAAATTCGATAAAAACTGTATTTCGCTTTGTTGTTTGCTGGTTTCTACTTATATCTTTTTGTTTTTTAAGCCAACTAACTGCTGTTTTTTGTGTTCTTTCTCTTTCCTTAGTAGCTAAACTATTGTTTATTAAGCTATTTTTTAAATAAACTACTATTTTTGTTTTTTACGATTTTGTATAAAAAGAATCATTAGAAAGAGTTGCTTTGCTTATAATGTTATATTATATCACTTGCAAAATTCTATTTAAAATATATATAATTTTAGTTAATTAGAAAAGAATAGTTTTATATATTTGTACAAATATATATATATACATATATATATAGTACTATATAATTATACAAATATGTACAAATATATAAAAATTAAACAAAATTTTAATAGTACAAACAGTTAATATAATTGTTATTAGTTCATTATCTAGTTGGTATAAGGATATAATAAATTATTGATTGCAACTAATAAGTATTCTTTA